CATCTATGACGTGCAGTTCAAGGATGTCATTTGCGGAGGAGCCTTGATTGGAAAACGATGGGTTCTCACGGCGGCACATTGCGTCATGAACCCAGAAAATATATCTGCAGTTCAAGATGTGAACAATATATTCGTCTATCTCGGCATGCACTATCGAAAGGCGTCCATGAACGATGAAGACATGCAAAAGATGAAGGTGCAGGCCCAAACGAATTTTTATGTCATTGCATGCTAAAATGGTTTTTCGATCCCAGATAGAGTACAATTCCGTATTGCTTGCAGGTAACTCAGATCATCCCCAAGGCGGAATACACAGGCTTGGAATCGGACATCGCCCTGATAAAACTCAAGGATTCAGCTAATCTAACGGAACGGGTTCAGTTGATCTGTCTACCTTCCAATGAGAACCTGTCTGATGAAATTTTAGATGGTGCTCAAGATAAATATGGCCGTCCTGACCGAGGATGGGTTAGCCACGATCACTCGAATGCCCCAATCCTTCAGTCATCTTTTTAAATTTAAATTATCGGTTTAACGTCAGGTGGCAGGTTGGGGAAGAGACGCCTCAGACGAAGCAACGGATGTCTTGACAGAGGTGCAACTGGAAGTCATACCAAAGCCTGAATGCCGAATGGAAATCAACATAAGGGCAGACAAGCACCCTACTTCCATCACCACGAAAACATTTTGTGCAGGAAAACGCTACAATGCTTCCTTGTTCTTGCATGAGAATTCGAAAGGTATGAGACACTATCATTCCAATCGCGTACAACTTAAATTATTTGCTATCATTTCATATGCGACGTATGGAAGTACATATTCAATACAAGAAAAACTTGTGTGGTGCAGTATGGACGCGAATTTTAGGTCAACTGGAGAAATGAGAAATCAAGCATGGTCTGTTTCTGCTACTAGGAATATTAATGACCGTGCTATATACACTCAATTGCAGTACCTCTGGGATATTATGAAATCATGAATTTCAGTATTTGAAGGTGACAATCTTATTTTCCTGTAGAACACAAGTCAGTGTTCCCTGGGGATTCGGGGAGTCCCATGGTCTTCGCCTCCCATAGCCTTCTCAAAAGTCAATGGGTGGTCGAAGGAATCGTCAATCATATCTATACAAAGTCGGGACGGGATTGCTCCAATTATGAACCTGGCGAGTATGGAGTATTCTCTCGAGTTAATAAGTAAGATATAGCATCTTCCCATGCCCCTCCTCAGTTAAGTTGCCTCGGAAATATCGTTGAAAAAAAAATTAAAATAAATTGTGTTCAGGGTGATCCACAGTTGTCGCCCTGAAGGTAAAAGCTTCTAACTCAAGAAGTTCACATTCGATTTTAATTATATATGGCCTAAATGATAGCCAATTTAATATATTTTTTAGTAGAAAATTGCAGCATTCTATGCGAAACTAGAACAAAGTTATATCATAATAAATGGAATACCCATATCGTGCAACTAAAGCCTGTAAATATCACAATCTCATCTGAAATTCGCAATTCATTCGTGGGTTTTTCATCCATTGCGAGGAATTGTCTGTGTCATGGGTGACCTCAGTATCCGGCAGAAGATGAATACTTCTATTTGGTTTGATAATTTGAAGAGCGTAAATTTGTGCAGGGAAAAGTGGAGAATTTCTTCAGTTTGGTTCTGAATGTCTCAGTTCCTGATTAAAAGATCATGGGGGAAATGCATCAGAGGTTTCTGAACCTGAAGAGATTCATTACGGATTTTTGACTACCTAGATATGCTGAAACAGGCCATCAGAGATGATGCTAAGACGTCTGTTGACATTCAAAGAGAGACTGCAAGAAGTCATCAAAATTGTGGAACTCACTAGTGATTTGGGTGTTTTCATTCGTAAGGATGTAACTTTCTTTCTGTTTGATAGAAAATATTGGCAATATTTTTCGATTAAAATATATTGAATTGGCTATAATGAGAGCCATATATCATTGATATCGGATGTATACTTCCTGAGTAATGCGCTTTTACTTTTGGGTAAACAATTGTGGACCACCCTGTATTTAAAGAAAAACATGATTTTACGATTCTTCTTTGTGAGAGGTTCCTCGTGAATAGTGAACTGTTTTAGAGTTTCCTTATATCGTTCTTTGAACATGTCAGAGGGATAATATATTTATTTGTTTCCTTATTCATATTGTGTCAAAGTATGAGAAACGTAATTTTTTAAATTTAATAATTAATAAAGTAATTCCTAATTTCATGATGTAATTTCATGATGTCCTAGGGTTCTGACTTCACTCCTCATTATTAATATCTTAATCATGTCATGGATCCCTTCTTCTTTCTTCCCTTCCACCTCTTTCTTGCTGAATCTGCTCCCACTGGAAGTCACAGGATTTTTCAGATTTTTAAAAATAAACACCTTTGAAACCTATCTCCACCATGAATTACTACGCAAAAGGGCATTAACAAGTGTACTCGCTCATAATCACATATTATAAATATGATATATGTGAATTCTCCTAAAATAAATCTTAATTTGAAATAATGTTTTAAGAAATAGGTAAGTTAAAATATTTTAAATACTCAACATTCGGGGAATTCAGAGTGTAAATCAGTGTGTCCGCCTTTCATATATTTCCCTCTCAAGAAATAACAATTAATATATGTTGTTTGTGTTGAAACTACTAGTAGTAACCCGAGAAAAAGAGCCGCCAAAAAGTCAAATTCATATCTTTCTGAGAAATGAACGAATGCAACAAGCTCACGCAAGGGACTAAAGTTCCAAATATATATTTCAGTTATTGGAACCCAATTGAGGAAGAATTTAACCTGTTTCATTCACCGATGACTGAATTAAAAAAAAAAAATTTCTTCGGGTTTTTGGGGATTTCTGACTCTTTAATATTGTTCTTTCTTTCATCAGGTTTGTTGACTGGATCGAGGAGAGCATGTGGATGAACTCATAAACAAAGGAGTGAATGCCCATACCCTCCCAATCAGGGCGCCTATTGCCCTTTTCAGGTGCTCAAAATATGATTATTTTCTTAAATTCAGATATGTAGAAGATACAGTAATTTTAAAGTCAACCAGTGAATTCCCTTGGGCTTGGACTATCGAGGAAAGGTCGAAAGCGAAATGAGAAAAATGAAATGCGACAGCATTTCATTTTTCTCATTTCACTTTCTCATTTCATCTGTCTCATTGCGCTTGCACGTGAGGCTCCAAGGATGTCTTCACCTCTTCTCAATTGCAGAATACGTTCAGTCCTCCATCATTATTCTGTGACGAGAGGCATTGAATTTCATTTACGAATGAAAACGTTTTACATCTCATGAAACAAACAGTATTTGCAAACACTAGTAGGTAGCCCGTGCAAAAGCACGGAAGTATTTAATGGCCCAGAATCCTTACATGGCAACGAGAGGCGGTCGCCACACTCCCGCCTCCCTCCCGCTCCCCTTGCCCGTGGCTGGTTTTGTGAGAAGACAGGACGCGACCAAAGGACCCCTAGTTTCTCGGTCTGCCCCTGCGCTTCGTTAATCGTCATTGATAAGGACGGGGAACCGACGCCGAGCGAAGACGAAGGGCGACCAAAGATCAAGGCGCTACCTCAGATCATCGCCTCGTAGGACAATGTGGTATGTGGGCTCTTATCCGCGGCCTCACGCCACTCACATCGCAACCTGCCGCGCGCATTACCAAATGTTAATGGCCTCATGCCACGTTGCGTGTACCTGTCAGTATGGCTATGGGAGAGCCAGTGAGCCTAGAAAAAACTGGAGAGGTCCCACCCATAGGAACAGTACAGGCATGCTTGCTGCAGTTATATTTTAGTCATATTTTTAGTCATATTTAGTTATATTTTTATTATTATTATTATTTCGACTTTATGCCTTAGACCGGATGTAAAATAAGTCGACAGTGATGATGCAAGGGCGGCATAACGTTATCACCTCCTTAGGCCAACTATTCTCAGGAAAGGCAGGCCTGGAACTTGAGGCCCACGCGAGAAATTGGGGACTCGCACCCATGAAAGAAGGATTGTTCCGATCTTACGTTATCAGGCCTATGAAACTCCCCCCGGAATTATTAGGCTTCCAGTACCATCACTGCCTTCCATCATGTGCACGACAACAAGAAAACTGAGATGGAATATAATGAAAATACCATTGCAAAAGAGGAAGAATTTAACCTGCTTCATTCACCGATGACTGCATTTTTTAATGTATTTTTTTTCGGATTTTTGTGGATTCCTGACTCTTTAATATTGTTCTTTCTTTCCATCAGGTCTGTTGACCGGATCGCAGCAGGAGGCAGCGAATGCAGCGCTCAGGAATTGGAGAGCCGTGCAGCCTGCTGTGCAACTCGATGCAAGGACCGCAGCACTCAGTTGCCGAAAGACGGTGAAGGCCGGGAATTGCACCCGAGAATTGAACAGAGGTCATGTGGTAGAGGGCATCATGGTACTTCAAAAGTCTGAAAGGGGAATCTGCAATTTGTTACAGTCAGTTACCCCTTCACCTGAAACCTCACCCTCCAGCTGGGCATGGATCGGTTAGAATCCTGAATTCGTCAGAATCCTGATGAGTTCATCAGGATTCTGACGAATTCCACGCGTCTGGTCGTTAATCGCTATCGCATTTGGAATAATTTGTGGAGTTTAATCGTCATTCTCATCGATTTCAATGCCGCCGTAATCGTCTCGGTCTCCGACTCGTCACAAGATGAAGATTTCCGTTGGGTTTTATTCCAGGAACGCACTGTTTTTTTTCACTCATGCTTCAGAAAACAAACGCCTCACTTCGACTGCACCCTTGTTGACTTGTCAGAGGAAGGTGGTGATGATTTTGAACGTTTCGTCGACCGTCTACCGGGCTTTGAATCAAAACGCAAATCGAGTCAGTTAATTTTTAAAATAATTTCCTGCATTGATCAGGCTGCATCATATATAAGTGATTGCATATGACCTTGAAGGGCAATGAATGTGGGAGAGGAGACATTGGAAAACTTCGACATTCAAATGTCACCAGATATTCCAGAAGACTCTCAGTGATCCTTTGTACTTACCACCCAGCGCCTCCCAAAGCTACACTGAACAGGAAAAGTTTCAGATTCTCTAAACGATTGTGGCATAGCCTAGTATTAATTTTGAACTTCAGTGATATGAACTCTTTTATAAGCTCATTTCTCGCTATTGTAGCACAAGTACAGGAATCGGTTTTGCAGTCCAAGGAAAGGAAAGTACCTCTTCAATTTGCTTTTTCATAACCATTGCAATAAGGTATGCTTTGGTTACTTATGTTCATGTTTCTTTTTTCCCTCTGCCAAGCTAACATCGGAAATGTGAATAATCAACCCTGAGTTTGAGCTGTATAATGGACCTGTAGTTTCCGTGAGTTCGTTGACATGCTGATGCTTAATGAATGACCTTCTCGGGAGATGTTCCGATTGCATTGCAAATTAAATGGACTTTGAAGGAGTTGGAGCACCGATAATCGTCATACTTAATGGCTATTCCAATAGCAAAGGCTTGCAAATATCGCTATTATTCGTCGCAGGCACGAATACATTGTTCTCTCGCAGAAAACGAGTGAGTGGCCTCGATCGCCTGACTTTTTGCTTCGCCTTTTTCCTCGTCGTCGCAGAACTTTCCTCATCGTGTGGACAACCATGAAGGAGGAAAAGGACGGAGAAAGGCAGTCGCGGCACGTGCCGATTCCTCGCGTGCCGGCACGTGGAGAAGCGACTCTTTCCTCCTCTGCAGGAAAGAAAAGTCGCATTTTCGAAGAAAACCCCCGTCCTCGCAAACGCAAGTCACGCCCAACGAACACCTTCCAAGGCTTCCCCCTCTCCCCCTCTCCCCCTCCTCCCCCCCTTCCCGACACTCTCCCCCCCGGACTGAACCGTATGATCCCGGATACCAGTGAGAGGAGAACCTTCGCCATGAACGGATACCTCCTTGCAGTCGCTCTTCTTCTTGCTCTGCCCGAAGAGGGCCTTCTGGGATTCGGATCGAAATCTTCCGGAACTTGTAGCCAATACACGACAACAGGCCCCCTGCTCCGTGAGTCTTCGTCTTATATTTGGGGAAAACCGTCCCAGTATCGTGGATCGTGCACCTGTTTCGTCGAAGTGTTTCTTTTTTTCTCGCCGAAACATCATAATGATTCGGAAATTTGTTCCGGCAGTAAACGATACTGTCCTTGGCGAACATCCACAGACTATCATCACATCTCTAAGATATCGTGTTTCATTCATGGGGATATATTCCTCATAGTCGAAAATTTCGTGACTTCTTGATGACGATTCCTATCATTGTTTCCCCAAGAAGGAATGCAATCGTTCCCTTGAGATTTTTCTATTTCGCGTTTAATAGGTTTCGCCTTCAAAAGCCTGTCCGCGGGAAGTTTCATTGGAATCGGTCATAAGTTTCAGTTCAATCGATATCGTCGGCTAACGAAAGCGTGCCGCCATGCAGTGGCCAGCACGTGCGGACGATCGAGTTCGGCCAGAGGATCCACCCGGAGCAGCTGGTTCCAGCGGTTGCTGGATCTCTTCCGACCGCGGCGACGCGAACCAGCGGCGGCGAGGCAGAACCCCGTGATCATCGGGGGCACCCCCGCCACCATCGCGGAGGCGCCGTGGCTCGTCTACGTCTCCACCGTCAAGTCCAACGGAACGTTTGGATGCACGGGCTCCATCATCGACCAGTATCACGTCTTGACCGCCGGTCATTGCATCGTGGACGGGTAAATTTTCTCCCTCATTACGAACTGGTTTTCTGTCTCGAACTGAACTGAACTGTCTCGAACTGGTTTTCTGCTGCGAAGCGAGAAAAGTGGATCAACGTGCAAAAGAAAAAAAAGGATGTGAATTTAAGTTTTTCGTGCCGACTCTGAAATCGGCCGAAAATAGTTATACCCGCTTCTTACTGGTACGAAAGCTTATGAATCTGACCCATTTTCCCATTTGCCATTTCCAATCAAGGACGAAACCGGCAAATTCTTCAAGCGTAAGTGTCGGGAACGCGAACAAAACACTTGGAAAAACTTACGCTGCTGCTTCGTTCCATCCTCATCCCTCCTATAACAACTGTGAGTAAAATGGAACGTGTTCTTCTATCAATCTAGGTCCAATGTCGAGAAAGAGTTCCTAATTGAGCGATTTTCAATTCCGTCGCGGTGAGCACTTTCGAGAAAGGAGGAGAAATTAGGCTTTGAGCACTATAGTCATTGAGCATTACCCTTTGCCAGCGCGACCCTAAGGGTTACTTTTGGTCGTTATTGTTTGGATCCGCACGATAGAAATGAAGAATTCTCACTCGAGTCTTTAAAATGATTTTATCTTTGGGAAGTCGATGAAATACGGAGAGAAATCAGTAGGCTACGTGAGGTGGCACTTAAAAGCTTGAAAGCGTCTGGAAAGGGCACATAGGAATGTGGTGATCGGGGTGCGTGCGAGTCAGAGCGGAATCCACTACTGGACCGAGTCGCCAACCGATCCCCAGATAGTAGTGCGCGGTCGAAGAAAAATTAGGAATTTCAAGCTGAAAGTCCTGGAATCGTCGGTTCAGATTCACTGTGAACATCTGACAAACCGGAGCAGAGTGAAAGACAGCAATACGTCATAGGGACCAGATACGATTCGTTGTCATCTTAGAGAAAGAATACCGAAACTTCCCTTAATCGATGCCCTTCCCCATTCATGGGGCAACGATATTCCTTTGAATGTCGGTCCTTTGCAGTGAAACCCTCACTGGGCCACGACATCGCCGTGATCAAACTGGCTTCGCCCCTGCAATTCACGCCCTCCATCCAACCGATCTGCATCCCGAGGTCCGACAGCCTGAACGATGCAAGAGCCTGCACCATCAAGATGTTCGGTTGGGGCGCCATCACGACAGATGCCAAGACTTCGACCGACGTTCTGCAGAAAGTGACTGCCACCGTCCTTCCCAAGGACAATTGCACGACCGAGTACGAAAGGGGGATCATATGCGCCATTGGTGTCACGAAAGGGACTGGAACTTGTAAGGTGAGACTTCACCTTTCTGTTGCGTTTTCAGCTGCTTTTCCTTGAATAGATGCTCCATTGGTCTGATTGCTTCCCCCTTGGGATAAAAAAGTATCGATTTGAGGCTTCGAACATTCTTGCAGGGAGACAGTGGCGGACCTCTGGTCGTGTACGTCAACGGCATAGCCTACGCAATGGGCGTGGACTCGACTGGTGCAGACCCGTGTTCATCCGCGCCTTCCCATTACACTCGGATCACCTCCAACGTCGACTTCATCTCTTCGGAAATCACCAGCGGATGAAATGCCTGCAACTATATGAACGGGAACATCACAGATTGATTGAAATAAACTGAGTTGTTCAGAGGATTGCGTCCGGTTCAAGTCTGTTCGAAAAAGTAGTGGCACATGTAGGGATAACCGTCGATAAGCTTAACTCGGACGCTTAGAACTACCGGAAACCGACGTTTATGGGAAAAAACGTCAACGAAGCTCGCTTAATCCTAATTAACTTCAAAGGGATAATCCGGTTTTAACGTTTTGAAGGCACCTATAATCTCTCAGGATTTCAAGGATATATTCTTGTTGCCGAATCACGTTTTTTGATGAATGGAGCTTCAGCATTTGCGCTTTTCACGTCTCTCTTTTTCGTAATATCAAAAATGACCCTTTTCCATTCCCTGCTTTTCCATTCCCCGAGATTCCCTCAGACCATAAGCCGCTACGGGAACGGTAGACCTCCAACAGCTACGGATCCGAGACGCCAAGGCACCGCCCATGCCTGTTTTCTTCCAGTCTTCCCTTCGCAGTCGCTCCGACGAATGGTGCCGTCGGCGACTCGGGAATTTGCACCAAATGACCTTTCTTCAGCCGGGAATTCAACACACCATGGGATCGCTTAGCTCCGAATCATATCCCCTCCTAGTAGGACCGAAATTAATTCCTTTTAATTAGGCCCAAAGAATAATTTGCATGATGACATTTTCCAAAGATGATGACGATTTCCATGATGACGATTGCTACAGTAGCTCAATTTTAAGATTCTCTTCGTTGAAATAAACATGACTCGTTCTTTTTTACTTCCTCCAAAGCAAATCAGTACATGGTCAGTCCATTGAAGATTGCAATGTACTTTTCATCTTTTTCTCGAGTTTCCTCTCATGTGCAGTCATTCTATCGTATTATACAGTACTTCGAATCTTCGACTCGTACCAAGTTCCAGGAAAATTATTATTTCCCTTCTGGGATACTATTCGAAGGGTAGATCTTTTTCGTCTTTTTTGTCATAGCCAAAATCCATCGAATTGGAGCCTCGTGCTAAAAATACTTCAAATAACTCTAATTTTCTAAACGAGATCCTTGAGGCAGTTTCACAAAAAAAATTGATCCAAGAAGGAACCCTTAGACTCTTTCAGATTCTCTTTCAGAGACTCTTTCGGGTCATCCCACAAGTAATGTCGTTTTTCTGGCATTGCCTTACTCGTGTCTTCTTTCTACATGTATATGCGAACATCCCATGGAATGTTTCTATGCTAACTCGTGCAGGGGTTAGTCGTCAATATACGTGCAGGTTTTCACGAGGCAAAAGTGCTCCGT